GATGTAGAAATGAATTAACAGAGGCAACAGGAGTGGATGAGTTCTGTGTGGGAGTAGAGTTTGTGTGTGTTCGTGTGTGGTGTATTTGCGTTTCCCAGAGCAGTGTGTGTGTCAGCTGCTTGTGCTGTCAGCTCTATTTTTAGTTTTCCCGTTTGAACTCTGTTGTCCAGACACATTCCCAAAGGATCAGGGGCCCACCACCGTCAATAAAAATAAGAATAAATAAGAATAAGGATGCTACTTTTACTTTAGGATAAATACTGCCACTGTCAAACAAACTCTGATATTAAATGTCAAATTAAAATACAAGTTTACATTGGCATCCAAGCACAACTGCAAAGAATTACTGAGGGAATGTTAGAGTCAGATTTCTTTCTCTTGATTTCTTTCATTGTTGTTTCACACCTCAAAAAGTTTGCAAATATTTTCTTTTGAACTTGTTTGAGTATACTCGATTTACCTTGGAAAACAAAACTAAACATTAAATTATATATAATTATATAATATAGTTATATAGTTTTAGGTTATATATAAACTTAATTATGCATATGTAAATCAATTGTATTATCAATTAAACTAAATACATTTATTAAAATCCATTCTAATTATGGTTATGTGTTGTGTGGTGCAAATTATTCCTGGCATCTTGACTTTGTGAGGTAAAATATGAGCTTATTTGTCAGATAAAGCCTTAATTTAAACCGTGATTAGAGAAGATTCCCTTGGATACCTATAACATGATTGGATAACTTGGCAACTGTTTGTGACTGTACCACTTTTTCCAGTTATAGTTATAGATTATAGGCCCTGTAAAAAACAGGATATGAATTTCCAATTTTCACTTTCTTTAAATTCTTAATGTCTTCCTTCTTTGACAGTAAGAGCTGACAAAGAGCCTAAAGAATTTCATTTTAATGTACTTCTAAAAACAGCCACCTGTTCAGGAAAAGCAGTGAGCAGCATTTTTAAAACTGAACAGGTGCTCCCCACCTACTTATTTCACTAAGCTAATGTTGCCTGTGACAACTGCAATGTAAAAACTACTTTCTTTGCAATGAAATCTAAACATATATATTAATAACAATGGTTGATGTCACTGGCACAGTACAATATGGAGTTACAACATAATAAAAAAATCTGCAAAAAAATTGCCTCATATATATTTTAAAGTAAACCTTGCTAGGTTTATGCTACTATCCCAACATAGTTTTTGATGTATAACTGGTCTATGTTCCTCATCATCTGATATTATTTCCATCCTTTGTGGCTCTCAGAATCCAAGATTTGCCAGGGCTCTTTCCAGGACCGTGACTTTGGACAAAGGCCCATGTGATCTGAAGATCTCTGAATAGACTTGGGTAGTAAAACTGTTGTAATTTCAATAATGTTGTCAAAATGTTGACATTTGGAAACACGAGTCCTGTGGTCTGATATTACAAGGGGTGAGTTTTGGAGTTGAACAAAGTGGGATGCTGACACTCCACAAACAATGACTTTACTCCTAAACAGTTCAGGTATGACTTTTAGAGTCAAATGTTAAAACTGCTGCTCCAGACGATTTGCCATCCCACTGAACCCAGAAATGACTTGGCTTGTCACTGCAACAGATGATGTGAAATGACCTGGTATGAGCATGATGTGACTTGACTGTGACTGTTATATATACCAATATAACAGGAGCAGTCATCCTGGAGTTTCCCAGTTGAAGACCACATCATCAGCACAGGACAGAAAATGAGCTAGCTATTAGTTGTTAGGCAACAACCTTAGACCCAGGAGCAATACCAGGCCTAGAAAAAACTGCACTCAAATTCGCACCCAGATACCAGCACGGCCGAGAAAATAGTTCTCACAGACACACGCACCAGGTCTGAAAATATCAATAGTAGAGCAGCAAATCAGCCATGACATTATTCTATTTTAGGAACAGAAATCTATATTGTAAGATAAAAATATCTGGCTTTTTAACCAAATGATGTTATACACAATAGATCTCTAAGTGATTGCTTTGTCTGTATTAGTAAATATGACTGAATGAGTGAATCAGAGAACATTTCCTGAAGAGGAGATGGGGCAGCGGGTAAGACCCATGCCTCTGGGGTGAGAAACCCGGGTTTGATTCCCACTGTGCACATCCACCAAGGCCTCTGACATATATAGCACTTGGATAAAAGCATCAGGTAAATGTTACTAGGTACTAAAGGTACTAAAATGACATTTACTGAGACACAAAACACTCAAAATGATCCTTACTCATTCACCATGGCTAAAGGGTGGGGTATCTGGGGTAGAGTGGGGGTGGAGGTATCTATCCTGTGGAATGCTGGGGGTGGTCAGGAGCGAAGCAGTGTGGATGACATGATGAGAAAATGGCATGATGGGAAATTGCTTGAGGATCCTTTTTTAACCACCGGATATGTGGAGACAATCTGTGTTTTCATTAAACCGGCATATTTGATATGTATGAGACACCTCTATATGAATATATATTATGGTGAATTAAAAGTAATTAATACAATGACAGACTTAAGGTGTATTTGATCTGATAGCTGCAGAATGTGATAAGAGTGGTAGTAAAACGGTGATAGTGAGAGAAAGTACAATGAAAGGTGGTGAAAATCCTATGAAGTTTTAATATGACTTAAATAGTGTGTGTGTAAGTGAGGCGTTCAGCTGGTTTCATCCTTCATAAACAGTGAATGCAAGTTGCTCGGCAACCAACCAAACGCGCATACACACATGCCAATGAGTTGACGAAAGGATGAGAGTAAAGGAAGAAGTGTGTGTGTGTGTGTGTGTGTGTGTGTGTGTGTGTGTGTGTGTGTGTGTGTGCGTGCGCACACGCGTGTGCAGTATTTGTGTTGCACATTGTTGACTGCATGCAACTGTGTAACATGGAAACCAGAGCAACTTTATGGACATCTTTTTACAACGAAACTTGTTCCAGATCTATTTTAGGTCTATCTTATGAGAGATATGATATCAAAAGCCGGCAACATCACAATGTGCCTTAAATAAACCAAACCATGTGATTCATGAGTCATACTAGATTAAAAGGTTACTTCCTGTTTTAACACAGTCCACTTGCCCCAGACTTCTGTCAGTAAAATTAGCATTATTTCATGATAGGACAATGCACAATTTAATATTCAGTGCAAGTAAACTCTTAGAAGCTTAACAAATGGTCATTGGATGCTGCCTACGACATGCCATGGATAGGATCACTGTGTGGGTATCAGGGCCAAAGCCAAGAATCTGGCCTTCCATTGGGCAGTCTGAACATCTGTTAGTTTACTTAAATTAAAAAGTAAGGAAGTTTTTAGTGCCATTGGAAAATGGGCAAAATCTCCAGAGCAGTTTCATGATTACAGCAGTGCTGAATGAATGCAGACTGAAAACTAAAGGGTGAGACCTGTGGCTTTGATTTATAATATAAATATTTATTTAAAGTATTATATGATGCAACTAACTTGCTATTATTATTATTATTATTATTATTATTATTATTATTATTATTATATTATTATTATTATTATTATTACTGGTGGAAGTAGTAGTAGTTAATATTTTCATATCCTCCAAATCTGTAACAGAGTGGAGAACCAAACCCAGCTCTATAATAAAATAAGGCTTGCAGGTAGTACAGACTGCTTAACATTTTCCTACCTGGATGAACGATCATGTGGGAATGTATATAGTCTATCTTAAACATAAATCGATCAAAATATGCCAAACTAGAATAATATATGCCTGCGCATCCTGGTACAGCTAAAGGGCATGAAAAGTTTGGACACTGTACCTAGCCTATTCCACTTGTCTCAGTCTCATGCAATGTAACACCATTAAAACCATATATATATCTAACACATACACACATGTAAGTAGACATTTTCTTGAGTATTTTATGGATGGATATACAATAAGCTACAGCATGGTAGTGAATTTCATTTCTGTTTGTGTTTTTATAGACACAAGAGGGAGCAAGAGCATACCTCAACAAGATGTACTGCTGTGACACCACTTCCCCCTGGGAGGTATGTGCTCTTTGCCTTATTCAGTGCATTCCCAATCAGAAAGACTTAATTAAGATAAATGATAGATGAAGTATTGCACCTTCACTCTGGACATTCCTAGCGTCCATGCCAGATTAGACATATATCTACAATAATAATAGCAAAGATTTCTCGAAAAATCAGTGTGCACTCAAGCTGTCACATTTGTTAGGACACTGGGTATGGCTATAAACTTGAAATGTTCTTTTTGATTAAATGTCATGGCCTAGTTTCCACAGTTACTTGTGCACTGCAATCTCACCTGCGCTGAGGTGAACCTATGGGACTGCTCTGCATGTGTGCCAGGGCCTAGGCATGACCCCCCCCCCCCCCCACACACACACACACACACATACACAAAACCACCAGTAAACACCAGTGGTTCATGTCACATATGGGAAACTACATCTGAGACAAAGATCTTTTGGCAGCTATCAAACGTCAAAATAAGGGTTTTTTAAAAAAACAAACATAATTTGGATTTATACAAGCCCTACCTGTGCACTTGCTGTTTGATGGCACGTTTTCCGCGCATGCATGCATGTATAACGAATGCATGACGTTTGTGAATAGGCGGAATTTAACCCATCCTGTTTATGATGACGTAGCTGCAGGTCGACTCCTTCCAGCTCAGAGAGCTTCCCTGTGTCTTCAGATCGTACCTTATTTCCGCAGTTGTGCAATCGCGAGTCCATACTCCTCCCCGTCCCCACGCCCCGCCTTTTCACTGTGAGGAATTAGTTTTTTTTCTTTTTTGCTGCCATTTATATTTATCTTTTTTCCCCCCACGTCACATGGGCTCTTTGGGACCTGCGTGAACTGTCGACACTGGCTGCGGCGCGTTCGAACATTATGGGGATTTAACAGAGGGAAGAGGGACCCGAGCAAAGAGGGACTCCACATCTTTCTGTCTGCCTCTCCTCCGCTGCTGGGAGGCTCCAGAGGATCATGCAACACCTTAAGCCATGGCGAGCTCTGCTCCTTTTAACCGTGCTGTGCCAACCAGGAACCTCAGACAAATACGGTAATGATGATGAAGATGGTGGTGATGATGATACTATTATACACATATGTACTTTACAGTTTGCTGTAGGCTACTTTATCCCCCATCATTCTGCTGTAGTATTCCTGCAAAGACTACATTTAGAGATGTCTGTTTTTATGTTTCGCATTAGGTGACTTTACATATGTCATTCTTCCAAAAGGAACTGAAGTGCAAATTATTTACTATAGAGACATTGGCTGTGGGTAAATGTAGAGTCTGATGAGATGAAACTGAGGAGGAGGAGAGATGGAGGATGCAAAGAGTGATAGGGAAGAGAAAAACTGAGTCTACAGAGTATTTATTTTTCTTCTTGTAGAATATGAGATCATTTTATGCCACCAACACCCCCAATACTATTATTGGCATTATGTTATTATTTTGAGTCTTTTGTACTGAGACGGGAGTAGGAAAGACAGCCACAAAATCCAGTTGTTGGGGAGAAATGGATAACAGACAAACATACAGCACATGATAAAGAAGCGGACAGCAAAACTGTGTTTTAAGCATGAAACAAATTATGTCTCACTAAATTGTATACGATATTATGCCTGCAAACAGAAAAGACTGATTTTAATCAGAGATATTCTATAGCTTGCACAGGTTCTACACATCTCCAAAAATAAAGAAAAGAAGTTGTTAGTTAATTAGTTTCCTACATTTATCATTTATTTACCTACAAAAAAGTATTTACTGATGCCTGAACAGTATTGACTTTACGTTTCACTCTCAGCAGTAGAAATGTCACTGACACTAGCAGGAGTAGCTATGTAGTAGTTATGTTAATATTATCAACAATGGCAGCACTAGTACTTTATGCTTGTCTATTTCACATTGATTATTGCTAAAGATTGATTATTCATCTTTTTGTGCATTGACTCACCGAACTGGCATAATTTGTAATTGATACAAGGATGCAACAAGTGAGTTGCTACACCCTCTATCCTTTTACACTTCTACCCAAAGAATTTTTTTGGTGCTGTTTTTGCTGAAAAAGATTTTTGTAAATGTCTGTCTGACCTGTGTAGATGGAGATTTGTTTGAATTCAATGAGTAATTCTGACTGAGATTGACAAAGGCTAAATGCTTCTGGTTTTCTCTGACAAAAAAAAAGTGACTGCGATTTTGTTCTAACAGAAGCGCTGCCACCCCCATTATTTCCCCTCCACTCTGTATATATTAAGTCATTTGAATTTTCTGAGGCGCATTTCATATGCTTTATTACCTAAATGTGATGCATCCAACAGCTTAAAAAACAACTGATTACTTTTATTATTTTAGACATCTAAAGCAGCTCATTGTGATAGCAAGGGGTGGTAGAGTTTGGTCTGTGAATTAAATATTTCACATGACCCTCATAATGTCTCAGCTGTATTGTCATAATGCTAAAAAGTATTATTTTGAACACTGTAGAACCATATTACACTTCCAATTTGTAAAAACATCTATTAAAACAAGCAACATTTGATAGAAAAATCATTCATCACTCTAAAAATCTATTACAAAAGCATAAGAAAAGCCTAACAATGAACAATGGACAGTGGGAAGTCATTCTGCAAGTGCCTGAGATTTCAGCACCATGGAGAGAAACCAGCAACCACTGTTGCTTCCCTTTGTCTATTCATCCATTAACACCTCTCTGCTTCCATCTCTGTTCTTTCACAACATGCATCTATCCATCTGTTCATTTGATTAGCCATCCATCCATATGTCCGACTGGCCATCCTCACACACACAGTATGATGTTCATGTGAGAGCTGATGTCTCTGCAGCTAGCCGTTTCCCTAAGGGAGGGACATCATGTTGCTATGACAGACGCTGTATAAGAGGTCAGGTTTCCACTAGGTTGGCTCAGATTCATTGGATCCTTCGTGCTATTTTTCCATGCTAGTGTACACATTTGTCCATTTTAAATAAAGATGATTGTTCTTGTAAAAAAAATTATTATTGTTGTTGCTGTTGCCACCAGTTGCTGTTGGCCTTGGGAGGATGTAAACTACCACCTGCCTTTCATTGGTATACCTGGACTGGCCAGGCACTTATTTCACTTGCCAATGGCGAGTTTTACCATGAGACTATAGCATCTTATGCTCCTGTCCTTTTGCTAGTCTACAAACAGGTGTCTATTTTAGACATTCAAATGGGTCAACACACATGCTTGTAAGGTTAACTTCTTCAGTCAGTGAAGAATCCCATTCAGATTTACCAAACCAGATTGTAAACAAGATGGAAAAATCCTTGAAAATAAAACTAAAAATAAACAGTTGAAGTGGTTTTTTGCCATTTGTTTAATTTTTTCTACCTCCGTGTTGCATGTTGGCCCAACAATGGCAGATGTCCTTTCCTGGACAACCAACCAGTGTCTGATGACTAGGACCGGCATTTATGCACAATGTCCTGGCAACATTGTGGTGATGTGGATGTCAGTATCTCTGCAACCCCCCTGTGTGCTTCAATTACTCAGATACCTCTTAGCTGGGTCCCAACACAATAATATCTGTATGCGTTTTTTTTAGAGTATATTGCATCTACCTAAGAAGGTTCACTTAGCCTTCAACACACTGGAGAGGTCTCTGAGATAATGGGCATGTTGTTTTGCAAAACAGCACCTAGACACTTGATGTTTTTAAGAAGTCATCAAATGTGTGTGTGAGATTTACAGTAACTGAAAAAATATTTCACATGTTGTGATATTAGGAATTCCAGAAAAGGGATTTAAAATAAATTCTCAGCTGTCAAAGTTTAACATTTGAGAAAGCATCAAAGGATTACAAGATACTCACTTGTCGGTGTGTGTACACGTGTGTGTGTGTGTGTGTGTGTGTGTGTGTGTGTTGGTCTTCAAAGAAAGTAAAGGTGAGTCACTGAAACAAATGTTCTGCGTCATGGGTAGAAAATAGTTCTCTACCCAAGTTCAGGTAAACATTCAATCTACAGATCCATCAATTCTGCCATCAAGCCACTCACCTACCATCTTTTGCATTTAATGTGCGATAATAATTTTGGATCCATCTGTAATTTCCTCACATACACACACACGCACACTGAGATTTCATACTATTCATTCACTTGTTTTGTCTTGTACATGCATACAGAGAGGCAAAAAGTGATTTTCCTCCAGAAAGTAGAGAAAAAAAGAGACATGAGCTGTGACCTGCGAGTGAAAGACAGACAGACAGAATAATCTAAGCATATTCTGCTGCGTTACGTTCTTATCTTTCACAGCCATCTGCTCCTTCCCACACTGCCATACAGTCCGAGGTCTTACACACCACCCTAAAATTAGATGTAGTGGAGCAGCTAAAAATGAAATACAAAGGAAATATTTTTTTAAAAAACTAGTGAAAAACACTTTATTTTCCCCTTATTCAATTTACAAACCAGTTAAATTTTTAATTAAATCTAATTAATTTCTGGCCACTAATGAATCAGTATATTACGTCCACAAAATATAGGTCAACGTTTTCTATGCAGTCGTGCTTATCAGACATTTTTGTAGAAACACTGATAGCCTGTTCAAACTCTAATACATTATTTTGACAATGTCTATGCAGCAGCAAAATTTTCCAAATGAAAATAAGACAGTTTAGATTTACATGGTTTTCAGAAGTTCCAGGTTTTATGCCGATGGGGCTTTTTAAAACTTCCTTGTGTAATTCTATAAAAGTTTCATAACTGCACTGAAGGTGAATCGTATCTTTAAATATGAAAGACAGGGTAAAAGTTGTGGGTGCGTGCGTTCTTGTCACCACTGTGCAGTACACTGATAGTTTGAAAGTGAATTATAATGAGTAAGCCAGGGTTAAACTCACTTTGTTGTGTTCTCATTTTAACCCTCTAAATGTGAATTAAAGCAGTCGTTGCCATGGGAATATGCTGTGAAAGGTTTCACTCTGAGCACCTGTTAGCCATCTCTTTGTCTTTCTACTTCAGGTTGCCTGTTTGAGAGAAAGCTGTGCACATGGGATCAGATCTGCTCAGATGGTAAGTACAACACACACACACACACACACACACACACACACTATATGTCACTGGAAGCATGCTGACACAAAGACTGTATATGAAAATATTCACAAGTCAAGGATTTATCCTCACCCAGCCCTGTGTCTATCTCTCTGTCACCTGCCCCTCTTCCCTTTCCTATCTAAGCCCCTCCCCCTCTCCTATCTCCATAGCAACAGTGACATCACGGTGAGCTCGACACCCCCACAGTTGTGCTAATACAGCGATGAGTCACTGACACACACTTACGCATTTCTCTGTGGAAATTGCACTTACGCACACACGCAGCCATTGGACAGAATACAAAATGGATCGGCATACTTGCAACTCAGGAGCAGACATGGGGCTATATTTATGTTCAGTTATGTTATCTTTGGGCTTGAGGAGGGAACATGGGAGAAAACTATTAGTTGTAATGACATCTCAAAGGTTGTTAGTGTGATTGGTTGAAAAGATCCCTTTGTCTCTGTGTCTGTCTCTCTGGCTGTGTCTTTTGAGGAACCTGTAATGCAAAATAAGCTGTGAAAAATCTGTGTGTTTGTTAGACTCCAATAAATACTCTTTTTTACCGGATTTCTTTTGTGGGGGTGTAATATAAAAGTTCACAGAAAGCGTAAACATCACTGTCTCCATAGACACAAACGGGTCTCCTAGTGACTTACACAAGGAATAAGCAACTACTGTGTTGAGTTTAAATTGAGAGGTCACAGTGGTGTGTGACTGCATGAGACAACCAGGAGCCACAGTAAAATCAATAGAAAACATTCAGGCTTTTCAACACTCTGACCTTTTTGATGCAGTCTTCTTTGCTGACATACCAGGAGTTGAATGGGAGTATCAAGATAATTTTCGTCTCTCTGGGTTGAGTGATGTCAAGACTGATGTTGTTAAAGAGGCAGCTGGCCTCCGCCAAGAACCAGAATCATATCAAAACAATATCTTAAAAAAATGTAAGCACTACATTATCAACAACTATGAATATTTACACATGGACCCCGGACATGTTTATGTTGTTCTGACAGGCATCTCCCCTGTAAGCCGTGTCTGTTAGTGTAAGGCCTGTTTTAAACAGAACAAGGTCATACATTGTCACCTGAGTTCTGTGTGCACCAGGGGTTAGCACTCTGACCTTGTCAACCAGCTGCTTCTTGAGGTGCTGACTTGGTGGATAGCAGGTTGATGCACAACAGGCATCTGGACAGCCCACGAGGGAAGGTTTAGTGGGTCTGTTGTGATTGGCAACAGCAGCACATGCGCATTTTAGTGTGGTGCTCTACACAAGTGAACAGGCAAGCCTATGAGATCATCAGACGGCTTAGCTTGTGTTTAGACACAAGAGTCTTTGGCCTGGATGTTAAAATCATTTTCTTTGTTACAAACTCTGTATTACTCCAGGATTTGAGACACAAGATTTTGGATAGATGTGTTTCAGGTATTCATTCTGACTGACAGTGGTTTAAGGTCAGGAAATGAATTGCAGTGTAATTGTTTTTCATACTAAGTTGTAATGTTTGATTTGCTGTTGTTTAGGTATCAGTGGCAATCCCTTAGAACTGAAAACATAAAGATCACACATAAACCATCTAGTATTCCATTTAATCGTGCCTCTAGTTTGGTTGGCGTGACTTTATCACTTACTGTAGAAAGTAACACTGATGCTCATCATCAAAGTTAATTTGACAATATTACATTTGGAGCTTTTAATATGTAATATGAGACAAACATTGTATTTACTTTACATTGAACAGATTTCCCTGTCTGATGCTGCTTACTACTGTGTGTTCCCTGCACAAATATGACCCATGCTCCTGAAATAGTCCCAATCCAATCAAGGCATTCTGTTTGCTGCCTTCCTTCCATTCATCTTCCATATCCTCCTCCTCATGCCCCTCTTCTCTCCGCCCTCAGTCAGATCGCCACTAGGAATAAGAGCTACTGTGTTTCTGCTTTTCTAGTACTCCTGGCAAGGATACAATATCCTGTGTCATATCACAGCATCTCTTCATCAACATCAACTAATTGTAATTTGATAATGTGTGTCATTACCTGGGATGGAAAATATATATGGAAAACTGTATCTTTTCTGTGTATTCAGGGCGGGAAATTGCACAGGTTTGAATCTGTAGTCGATTTTCTATATCGCTTTTCAGACATGGTAATAACATAAGGCTGAGAATAATTTACCTGTTCCTATAACCCCCCACCCAGAAGTAAAGTAAAAAACATCTCAGTTTACTTACTTTTCAATACACTGAGTAGCAACATGTAAGCTGCTCTGTTTCCTTTGACATTTAGAACATTTGTGGCTATATAAACACAAGTCCTCTCTAATCTGTTCAGTATAACACTTCACCGTTTCACTGTGACAGGTTGGGTTGTGTGAGATTTAGCCAGTGTAGTGAAAGACTGTGGTGACTCATCAGTGCGCCAGAAAAAATAATAGTCTGCTCAGCTCTATCGTTATTCCCATCACATCGCAGTCTGTCTTTTTCTTTAGAAATATCTCAGTGAGATTTCAGAGCGAAAAGACAGGCCTCATTAAGGTGACATGGCATCCCATAGTGATCGCTTTGTGGGAAAGTTTGAAATTTCAGATTCTAAATATCTAACTCACTAACTCGTTATCAACTAAACTTTGTGGTGGACTGCTGAACCTCTTCATCCCGTGGTTCCAGACAGTTCACTGTGTTATGTTCAAACTAGTTATTAAATTATAATATTTTTTATTCAGACATTATATACCTCCATGTAATGATATGAACCTATAACAAGTACTAGCTTGGTGAAGCTTCGAATGATGCATCTGCTTGTTTCTGAGTGGATGCATGAAATTGTTGATGTTCAAAAAAACAGATCCATTTATGATTATGATCAGCTCACAGAAAATAATACTGAGCAAATTCTATAGTAATAGGATTTGCGACGAGGCTGTGTGCAGGTTAGCAGCCATTTCAAAGGCAACTGTTTAAAATGTTCTAAAGCACGCGCACTGATGGTGGCAGAACCTTGTCAAAGGGATAGTGACAAACAGTAAAAGTGTGTGGGCTGTTCTGTACTTCAAAGCTATGACTCACTGCTGTGGGCTAGTGTGGTAGGGGCTACCATAAGAATTACAGGTATTATAAAGCACTGTACTGTACCTCAAGGGCAGCTTCATTGAAATAGCTGTGGTAAAGATTACCTATACAGTTTTAGCTAATAAAATACATTTATAAAACTTCAATTGATGCCTTGTTAAATTTGTTCACAGAAACATTTCTTTTCTAATAGGCCTTTTTATGTATTCATTCCAGATGGGTTGTTTGGTCAGTGTCGTATCTCTAAGCAGGACCAGGTCCAGTACCAAGTGTCAGTTCCTGTTCTGAAGAGGATGCAGGAAGTCCTCAAACAGCTCATGCTGCAAGGTGAGATGAATACATGAAAACATCCCTAGCATTCCTTGACAAAGCTGTTGTCCTTGACAAAAACTGTTTTAATATGTATTACATAATTAAAATGTAAGAAAGTCAACAATAAACTATTTTTAAACAAGACTAAGAGCTAAATGCTAACGTCAGCATGCTAGCATGCTCAAAATGACATTTAACTGAGAAAAATAAAAAAAGTATTGGACAAATTGAAATTTTGTTCAGATGGTGGCGCTAGAGGAAAAGTCAGGAGTTCATCAAAGTTATTACAATTCATCCTCTGGGAACCGTGTATCTATACAAAATTTCATGCCAATCCATCCAATAGTTTTTTAAATATTTCAGTCTGGACTGACAATCATCATTTCCATATAGAGCCAATCTGCTAGCATTTCTCAAAATATGATAAATAAGGGAGTCTACCCACGAACTGGATTACCTATATAGTCATAGTGAAGTTAATTTGGTCATGTCCTTAACTAGTAACCATATTGAGGGATGCTTTATGAATACAGGTGGAAATCCATTCTGTCCATATGGGCACTTCAACAACTCTTAAACAACAGTATTGATTTCGGATAATCTTTCGCTCTCTCTCTCTCTCTCTCTCTCTCTCTCTCTCTCTCTCTCTTTCTATCCCCCTCACACACTTCAGTCTTGCACTCTCACTCTCAGTTTCTGTGGCTTTCTTTAATTGCTATTTGTGTGTGTGTGTGTGTGTGTGTGTGTAGTTGTATGTGTGTGTGTGTGTAGGTTTTTCCTGGCAAGACGACATCACCCAGTATATTTTATCAAAGGAGCTGAAGAGAGTTCCCCATACCACCCACCCCGCTAAGCCAAACTCATCTTCCTCCTCTTCTCATTCGTCTCAGTAAGTGCTCTTCAGTTACAGTGGCATTTAGTGAGAAATGTACATTTTACCAATAAAACCAATGAGTCAGATCCATTCATTCATTTCACCCTGTGCCACCAGAAACTTCTCTCTTGACCTATTCCTTCATCCTTCCCTAATTTCAACCCCACTGTATCCATCTTAATCCTCTTTCTGTTTCTCTCTGGGTTGCCAGGTCCAAACAGCACATCTCCCAGCACCACAGTTCTAAGTCGGGGTCCACACCTCCTGGTGGCAACTATGTGGACTACATGATTGTCGAGCCTCCTCAGTCCCCTCTACGCATGCAGACAGCCTCCATGGACCCATACACATACCACCAGGTACACAGACACACACACACACAAACACAAAACATTATCATCTAAAATCAACAACAACTCTCCCTCTCATCAACTACTCCCAGGCATCAGTGTGGTTACAACAGACAAAAAGCCAACAACTCCAAACTCATAGAACAATGTACATCACAGTTTAGAATTAAACACGTTGTATATCATCCTAGCAGTAGAAAAGTGGGAAATACACCAGAAACCTGTAGGAAAATTGTTATAATAAAACAATTACAGCATCATCAACGAACAGAAAACACAAGGAATATGAAAAAAGACCGTAAATGTCATACACATGCATACACTGTATTAAAGTACTAATTCAGCACAATATCTCTCGTACTTCCAGCATAGGTACCAAGATGAAGAAGAGAGATCTCTCATTGGGGCAGGAGGCAGTTATGCCCGCCCCTCTTCAAGGTCCCAGGCCAATCAGAGAGAGCGAGACAGACAGCTGTTACAGGAAGCCTTGTCTCTCTACCTGGCGTCTGCCCAGCCTTCTTATCGCCACCGAGGGGCCACTTCCATGGCTTCTGCAGGTAAACAGAATTATCAAATTTCCAAACTAAACACACAAGAAAAAAGCTATTTTTTAAATACTTAGATACATTATAACTAAACAATTCTTGTTCTCTCTACCATCCTAATCTATTATGCCTATGTGAACAGGTATGCCTTATTATGACGTGGACCTGGAGATACCAGTGGACTATGTGGAAGACTACACCCTAGAGGAGAGACTTGGAACTGCTGGCCGACAACAACCACTGCAGAATAAAAAAGTTCCTCAGGAATTCAGAACTCTGTCTGGAAACAATGGTGAGGCAAAGGAACTAACTTAAATTTAATTTACAACAAATGTGCACGATATGGGCATTCTTACAAAGTGTGTATATCCTGAACATCCTTCCAATTTCAAAATTGGACAGAGCACAGATAATGCTAACTTTGCTCCCCTGTGTTAGATGGCCTGCTCCAGAGGATGTCAGGAGTCCTGCAGAGGTACGGAGTTGACCCCAGAGAGCTCAGTCAAGAGCAGCTCTACAAGCTAGCCCTCATTTTGCAGCTGCTGCAGGCCCAAGAAAAAACAGGTGCAGTCTGTCACTCATTACGTATTCAGAATTTTAGGTCAAACAAAACCAAACCCCTGTATTAGTATAATGTAAGAGGGGCATTTGTTGTTGAATGAACTAAACTGCCCTGCGTTTTACACATAAAAATGGGATTATATACTGTATAAGTTAAAATCTGCAGCCCACTACCTTTTAAAATGATTTTAAAATGAATAAAATGAAATCATAAGATATAATAGCTTTTTTTAATCTATTATCTATTTAGGATATAAAAATCCCAAATAGATAAATGGAACATATTGATAGCTGACACTTGAGAAATGGGGAATATTATGCTAAAACTGAATTGTGCTTTACTGTAGTATTTGTTTAAAAACATCTGTTTGTCTTTTAACACAGACCCAATTGAAAAAGACCTCATCACCCTCAAGGAGGTATGTTATCATCCATTGTCAGCCGTGTTCACAAGAAGCAATCATACACTTTTATGATAGAATAGATAGATCTTCTATCATTCCCGCCACAGATGCAGATGGTAAAAACAGACAGTGTGTCCCATAAGCCGGAGAAGGCTGACCCTGTTCCTGTTCCTGGTCCCGCTGATGCCCCTCCTGCCCCCTCCTCCGCTTCAGTCCAAGCTACACCTCCGGCCAAGAGCGCCAGCCTCCCCCCTTCTGCATCCCAGCTCCGCAGGCCGCTTCTGCTGAAGCTGGACAAGGCTTGAAAGCGCAAAGGCCGCCACTGGTTGAGGGTACAGGCGCCAAGGAGGAGTATGGTTACATTGTCACCAACCACAGGTCAGCCTTGATCAAATTCAGCTTTCAGTTCTTCTGCTTATTACATATAAACTGCTAAAACATGAAGCACATCTCTTCCTGTGGAGCTAATTATGCCTGCCAAGGGCTGCCATGACCTGGCAATAGTTGAAATCACTAAATGGCACTTAAGTTGCCAGTAAAGAGCAGCAAATAGGACATGTATTACACATGGCGTTTACAAGGAGGATAATGATGCCTTTCATTTGCAGTCATCTGAGTTTGTATGAAGGAGTGAAGCTGTTGGAGCTACTGGCTGACAAGATTCACCTGACAACGAGCAGCTTTATCAACATCAGGTAACACCACCATTATGTGTTACACTAAACACAGAATATGTTTCACAGTTTCAAAGCATCATCAAAGTGTTTGTGTGTGTGTCCCTGTGGTTCTTGCCAGTGTGGTGGGTCCTGCGCTGACGTTCCGTATCCGCCAGAATGAACACAACATGACGGCTGCAGAGGTGGCTGCTAAAGCTGGTGAGGCTCAGAAACACACACTAACAGACACACCAACACCTACCTACCCACGCAAGTGAAAAGTACGTGGGCACGTTGTGCTGTCTCTCTCACAGTCTTTTCTTCAAATACCATTTCACCAAACAATAATAAAATGCTTTGATGTTTTTTCACCTCAACAGTATCTGAAAAGAACTTCCTGGAGTCTGAGACAGGCCTGAAGATTAAACAGGCTGGTGTGGGAGAGGTACTTGATGCACACGGACACACAAACACACTTCTGTGTCCATCGTAACCCCTCCTATCAGTAACAAATGGAGCAGTTGTCAGGGTGACAGAGATATAATCACTCTTCTGTAGTATTTACCATTTTCACTTTAATCTCTTTAGTCATGGACACTAGCACGACAGATTATCAGACTTGCTAGTGTCAAATGAGATTTGGGATTACTTTATATGTGGCTGTCTTTTGAAGTCACAGAGTGACTTGATTCTGTGTATTAACACAAGGATGGCAAAATGAAATTGTTGCAGGTGAAATGGTTCAGGTGTGTTAGTGTTGAGGAAAATCACCTTACGCCCAGGATTAAGGACTGGTTCAGATACGGTGTGTTGTAGAGTGTATATTTGCTCAGTGAGGATCTTTGGATTAGCTCTATTCTTATTACTAACTATTTTCATACATGCACTAACCCTGCTATGGTAAAGATATGGGCAGGGCACATCCTAAACAAGAGGTTAAGCAAAGGGGAGTTTATGTTACACAAGCAGTAATATAAATTCATCTCCAAAAATGTGTCTAAGTTTAATACAGAGCTTTTGGTGAGTCAAACTAATAGTTTTTATCTCAGTATGAGAATCAATCGATGCATTCTTCTTTCATTGCTGGCTCCATCATCAAATACCATTAAAAGAGGGTGTTGATGAAAAAAATGAGAGCTTGTTTCCATCCACGACTACACTTTGTGCTGTAATGTTATGTGTGTGAGTGTGTGCCACCTGGAGGGAAAGCAGCCAAAACAAATCAGCAAGGCGATGCCTCATAACATCCAGCGTTTCACTTGTTGCCATGGTACTTTATCTCCTCCACCCCCCACCCCCCTTTGGCTCCCAGTTCCCAGGTTCTATGGCAACAATCACAGGTGTCATTAACCTCATTATTTGCTGTTCAAACAAATGGCCTCTGAATCATTTCAATTTTGTGTATAATGGATAACACACCAATTGAATTCGGGGCTGCAGAGAAAATATGTAATTATCCTGCCAATACATTAATGGAATGTGTGTGGTACTGATGTGATCTCCAAGATGGCAGAATGTTATAAATCATCCATAGTGAAGTTTTCTCATTAGCATTGCTTGTCAATTCAATCAATATGAATATCCAGATCAATATCCAGTTTAATTTATTTAAACTGGGCTGTACACCTAGGGCGCATAGTGAAACTTGTTTTGCAAGGTAGAAAAAAAGATGAAGAGGAGGTGACACATGGATGTGTGACGTGCACTGCACCATGGTTCACTGCCCTCCGTGGAGCCCCTGCTGTCTTTTTAATGTGTTCCTGGTTCATACTAACTTGACTTATCAGACCTCTGTCTTTAAAGCTCAGCATCAGCCTCTCACTGAGCACACCTTGCTGTCATGTACAGTTACCTAGAAACAAATGTGTTGTTAAAATGAAATGAGTGACCTTTGAATTCCAGTGTTGAGGGCAGATCCCCTGGGGCGACATTAGGTTGACCGCTCTCAAAGGCGAGATGTGTATGTGAAGAAATGGAGATAGCCACTCTTGCAAGATGATAATCTGTTTTCTTTGTCTCCACGTTACCTCCTTGTCTCCTGTTACCTTCCTCACCACTCTTTATGATGTCTTTTTGCCAGAGGACAGATGCACGGGGTCTCCCTCAGGTAACCAGGGTTTCCCAGGGCTCCAGTGGGACAGTCATCACCCTTGTTTCCATGGCAGTCGTAGGAGGCGTGCTGGTATTGGCCATGGCTGTAGCTTGTCTCAGGCACTATGCTCAACAAGTCGCCAATGGCAAGCTTGGCCTGGGGCCAGAGGGAGGGGCAGAAACACACTTTGACTACCAGGTAAGGCAGCATAAGGAGATTCAGCACAGAGGAAAGGTCATTTTATATGATTTCTCAGAGGGTTTGTTTGTTTGTTTTTATGTTTGTTGCAGTGGTATAATGGATCATATGTAGTGTCAAAAGGGAAATAAATGTGGGAATTTACAAAGGTTATAATAAAGAAATGTCTCTTAGATCAGACAGATGAATGAGTACTTTATGTATAACCTATAATCTTAAATTATGTTGTACTTGTTAATGAAATGCCATAAGAAAAACATGCCCATATTAATGCTGAAACAATCAGCTGATTAATCCAATCATTAGAAAGCAGTCTTCAATACTAAACAGTTACTGGTTACAGCTCCATACATTTTTTTATGTATTTGTCATAGTTTTTGATCTTTACTATATTTATATTACAAAATGATACAGTAATTGATCCGTATTGATACTATATTAACTATATTATATTTGCAGCACTGTTATCCATTATTTACCTTTTTTTATTTTACTGTTCTACCTCGTCCTCTTGTTACTTTCCATTAAGGAGCTATGTCGGCAGCACATGGCATCCAAATCCCCCCTGTGTCGCCAGGACTGTTTGGCCGGGGTGAGTGGCAGCATGGCGGGGTCCGCCGTAGGCACAGGTGCCGGCGGTCGAAGGGGCACAGACACGTCCCGCGTCAGCAGCGTTTCCTCCCAGTTCAGTGATGGTCCCCAGCACAGTCCGTCTTCCACCCACAGCTCCACCCCATCCTGGAGCGAAGAGCCAGCCCAGTCTAACATGGACATCTCTACTGGCCACATGATACTGGTGAGTTGATAGACGATCAGAACAAAGAAATCTCCTGTTGTAAAAATCCTCCTTGTCATTGCTTGGCAGATGTTAACCTCCTGCATTTTATTTGCATGTCATCTCTCTTTCAGGCATACATGGAGGATCACCTGCGTAATAAGGACCGCCTACAGAAGGAGTGGGAAGCTTTGTGCTCCTACCAGGCTGACCCCAGTTCAGTAGCTGTGGCTCAAATCCCGAGCAACATGGACAAAAACAGACACGCTGAATCACTCCCCTGTTAGTTCACAATGTGTCACTCTATCTGATCATTTCTGTCTTCGTCTGTAGAGTTGTCATGTGTAAATGAATCTGATCACCTTGCTTAGTGCACAACACATTAACGTACAGCACCATTTCAATATCAAGCATTTTACTAGTCTTTAACTGCATGCAGTAGTAAGTAGTAAAGGGGGAAATTAATTCAAATTCTTTTATTTATTAAGTGACTCACTCTTGACACCTGTTATCTTTTACAGATGATCACTCTCGGGTGAAGCTGAAGACTGAAGTAAACCCCAATAAACAAGATTACATCAATGCCAGCGTCATTGTAAGAATTATTCAAACAATCAAAAACACTTACAGCATGTGATGATATTTATAGTTAGTGGTTTGTTACATTGATTTCTCCCCTAATACAATACGAAGATTTAAATAAACAGCCATTCTTTGATTATTTTCATGTGTAATGCACTGAATACCTGAATAAGTATTGCTGATTTTTATTGTAGATGAGTTCTGGAGGAAATAAACTATTTGATACAGCAAAAGAAAATCTGTGAACTGTGAATATTGTAGCTATTTGGAATCTGTTTTTCAGAGCTAAAACATTTCTCAATATCAAAATACAAACACTCCTGATTCAAGTCTAATCATTAAATATTATGTATGAAGATATATTGCCCCTGCTGTAACTCCTATCTGTTTGAGAATCCTCAGCAGGATAAACCTGAGAAACTCTGGTCATTTTTTCCCCTTTTAAACCCACAGGTCGATCATGACCCTCGCCAGCCAGCCTATATCGCCACACAGGGGCCGCTGCCTCACACTGTTGCTGATTTCTGGCAGGTCAGCAAAATCTTCCCTCTGTTGTTTCTTCTGTCTGCCTCTTTCTTTTTCTGTCTTACTCACAATTTAATGGATTTACTTGCTGTGTTAGGGACAAATTAAAATGATGTAGACCATTGGACCATTCAGTTCAGGAAACCAGTCTTGGTACTTTCAGATATTCACAGATTCATTTTAATGGGACAATCAGATGCGTGATTTCTCTCCAACCCACAGATGGTGTGGGAGAACGGCTGCACAGTGATAGTGATGATGGCAGCTCTGGTGGAAGACGGAGAGAAACAGTGCGAGCGATACTGGCCTGATGAGGGCTCATCACTCTACCACATCTATGAGGTTAATTTCCTGTTGTAACACAGAACCTTTAATTTCACGTAAAGCACCGTGTCTTTTTATGATGTTTTCCAGTAACAAACATTCAGTTTAATTGGTAGAGCTTCCCTGCATTAGACGCATTATCACAATAGTTTTGTTCAAAGTACATATTTATAAAAGAGGTTCAGATAATTAAAAAATCTGATCTCTGAAATTAAATACAGTACAATTAATAATGATGATTCATAATTCTGACTGAATTGTGAGTTTGCTTAGAATTAACACATATTTTTATTATTATATATATTATAAATTTTAATAATAGGGCCAGTTTTTTTTCTGCATCACCCCTTACATATGTATGTATATGCTACAATCCCTTTTTAGTTGTTTTATGTGTGCACAGTAAATCATTTTAGGTTAATGGTTATTATTTTATGATTATTATTATCATATGATCTCCACTGAGCTCCTAAGTGGAACTAAACCTTTGCTGGTTGAAACATTGCATCATAACATTTTTGGAAGGTTGCAAAATTCATCTTGCGACCACTTATTGACAATTAAGTCCCATTTTTTTTACCCTCTTGTCCATATCTCTTTTCTGTCTGCCACCCCTCCCTCTCTTTCTTTGCCTCTATGTGTTGATCAGGTGAACCTGGTGTCAGAGCACATCTGGTGTAAGGACTTCTTGGTGCGTAGCTTCTACCTGAAGAACGTCCAGACGCAGGAGACCAGAACCTTGACGCAGTTTCACCTGCTAAGCTGGCCGGCTGACGGCATCCCCACCTCCACGCGGCCACTGCTCGACTTCCGTAGGTAAGTAATCGCCCCTCTTAGTAGTGAGTAAACAGAAAATTTAGCAAACAGGTTGGTTCAGGATGCAGTGTGTGTGATGTTGCGGTGACTCACTGGTACCCTAACATCTCAGTGGGTTTGAATCCTCCTAATCACATTTACCACGTCCATCTCTTTTATGTGTTTCCTGTCGTCATTCTGCATAGTGTGCAATCAAAGAAGTGCCCATGTCATACCCGATCCATCTCAGCTCTCTCTCTCTCCCTCTCTCCCAGTGTGCAGGTTGATAGGTTTGTATTTTAACATCTACCAGTGTCATTTTTGTGGTTTGCAGCTAGTACTCTGGCTCCAGTTGCATAGTCACAAAAATGAGCATTGGCAGGTGTGACTGGCTACTGCAAGAGGGACAGTGAATCTGTGGCTTCCTCTTCACCTATTCTTTCCTGTTTTACCATCTCACCATTGTCCACAACCTCATGCAATTCGTGCTTTTTCCTGTCCTGACATTCATCCTTCATTCCTAATCTGACTGCTTTTGTCTGTCATTTACATATAATTCTTTCCATGCTTTATTCTTCCTACTTGGTCACACTCCTCTTTCCTTACATTGCCTTTAATTTAACCACAACCCACCTGAGACTGCACAAGAGACATTAATAGGTGTGTTGTATACATGTATTATATATCTTAATTACTGACAAGTCGTTTATCTGTATTCATTGAATATTTTACACAGATTACACAGTTTAAAATAAATCGTTTATAATAAAGCCTTTTTTTCCCCTGTGGTTTCTTTGTTCTCCTTTCTATCTCTGTTGTCCCTCGTTCCTACTTTTCAGGAAGGTCAATAAATGCTACAGAGGTCGTTCCTGCCCAATCATCGTTCATTGCAGGTAAAGAAAGAAATTTTCATTTTTCTGAAACACCAGGATGTTAAAAAAAACATACAATACGACCAATATGTGTTTGGAAAGCAGACTGAGGTAAAGCACTGCAGAGAATAACATGTGCATTGACAGTTTCCTTCTTATCTCTGTCACTCCCACAGTGATGGCACTAGCAGGACTGGCACATATATACTTATTGACATGGTGTTGAACCGCATGGCCAAGGGTGAGTTGCACTCAGTTCAGCTTTATTGGCATGAATGAACATTGCCAAAGCATCATACATACAACATAAGAACAATCAACCCCATACATTTCATTAAACAAGTAATTAAAGCGTAAAAGAAATCAAAGCCTATGTGTGTGTGTGTTAAAAAAATAAAAATATATTAAAAATAAAATAATTAAATAAAACAGCAAGCGTATGTGTGTGCATGTGTGTTAAAAAAATAAATAAATAAAATAAAATAAAACAGTAAGCGTGTGTGTGTGTGTGTGTGTGTGTTAAAAAAATATATTAAAAATAAAAAAAATAAAAAAACAGTAATTGTGTGTGTGTTAAAAAATAAATTAAATAAATAAATAAAACAGTAAGCATATGTGTGTATGTGTGTGTGTGTGTGTGTATGTAAAAATTAAAATATATAAAAAAATTTAATTAAAATAAATAAATGAAACAGTAACGTGTGTGTGTATATTAATAGACAATATTTGTTTTTATAATTAATTGATTAAAAAATAATAATAAATTATTAATAAATAATACAATTATTTGTTCCACTGGTTGTCCTCACTTCATGGCATGAGGAGACATATTTTGCAGCCATTATTTCACATTTGGGCATTTCTCCCAGTAAATAGGGGAGTTTCTGTGTGTCTGATATGAATTTGAATTCGGGGTATATTTGAGAAATGTTTGCAAAGTGTTTTTGTCTTAGTGTTTTATATTTGGGGCATGAGGTTAGAAAGTGCAGCTCTGTCTCTACCTGTCCTGTGTCACACTGGGAGCAGAGTCTCTCCTTGTGGTAGCCAGCTCTGTCTGGACTGCACTGTCTCTCTCTGTCTTTCTCGCTCTCTCACACACACACACACACAGTTTTTAGTTTATTACTTTATTGACAGAAAGAATATATAATAATATTTCTGAAAATATGCTATAGTTAGCCAGAAAGGCATTTTTTTCTGTAGTGGGCAGGCAATATTTGAAAGCAGGATGTTAAGAAAAAAAATTACAGTCAACAATAAAAGCAGTGAAAAATATACAGATACAAACAGAGCCTACATGATAACGAGACAAGAGAGGCAGCTCTTATGACACACAGAATCCACAATAGCTTTACGACAATCAACAAATCAACAGATAGCATGACAGTACAATCAACAAATAGCACAACAACACAAGGATAGGCCTTGTGAAGTGAACATTTTATAAAAATGAAATGTATCATTTTGTTTGTATTTAGAAATTTCAACATGCATAACCAAACCATATCTATAAACGTAGCACTTAAGTGTTACTTTACTGTGTCAAGCTAATCAATAAGATCAGTAGGATAGTAAGAGTGTGAAGTAGAGTGCAGTAAGAGATTTTCTTTTTCATCCTTGGTAAATGCTAGCCTCTCATACCATAGCAAAGCCAATCTCAGGTGTCATGTATCTTTATATTTACCTTTTTAGTGGTTGGGTGGATTTAGCGAGAAAGCTCTTATCTTCTGTGGTAGCCAAGAGTGGGTTGATAAGTGAGAAACGCAATTTCGATTTCTCTGTATGTCTGGTACATGTGAAGAAATTGACAATAAAGTTGACCTCGACCTTGAAACTGTGGTAGTGATTACTTACTTACTGTTCCCGTTGTTGTTGTTAGGAGTGAAGGAGATTGACATCGCAGCCACACTGGAGCACATCAGAGACCAGAGACCAGGATTGGTCCGCACTAAGGTACTATGAAACTGTCTGTGTGTGTGTGTGTTTGCATTTTTGCAGCACTTTTAAGGTGGAAGTCCATCATAATCCAACTAAGTCTCCCTGTCCTATCTCTAACCATCCGCCGCACAACTTTTGCTCTTATATTCCCTTCTCCCCACCTCTCTCTCTCCGGATCAGGACCAGTTTGAGTTTGCACTGACAGCAGTAGCTGAGGAGGTGAATGCCATCTTGAAAGCCCTGCCACAGTGAGCTGCAGCAGCTGAGGACACAAATAACTACTCATGAGGACACACTCGTACCATCTGGTCATATATGTCTGGCAATCACTGTAAATAAGAATTTGCTCAACCACACTTGAAGCAGTTACTGCTCTTGTTTTCAGCATGCGGTATTTCACCATCTACTCATTCTCTTTTAAAACATTTTGGAACTTAATTTTATGAAAAAGAATCCAAAATGATTTTTAGCAGGATGTAAACATGAACAGAAGATCAAATTGTTTACATCATCATGGCACAACGTTGATCTCTGTCTTTGCTGATTGATTTCTAATTCAGTAGAAACCAACGAGGCAATCAGATGTGAACTACAAAGTACAGTGAGGAAAATAAGTATTTGAACATCCTGCTATTTTGCAAGTTCTCCCACTTAGAAATCATGGAGGGGTCTGAAAATGTCATCGTAGGTGCATGTCCACTGTGAGAGACATAATCTAAAAAAAAAAATATCCAGAAATCACAATGTATGATTTTTTAACTATTTATTTGTATGATACAGCTGCAAATAAGTATTTGAACACCTGAGAAAATCAATGTTAATATTTGGTACAGTAGCCTTTGTTTGTGATTACAGAGGTCAAATGTTTCCTGTAGTTTTTCACCAGGTTTGCACACACTGCAGGAGGGATTTTGGCCCACTCCTCCACACAGATCTTCTCTAGATCAGTCAGGTTTCTGGGCTGTCGCTGAGAAACACGGAGTTTGAGCTCCCTCCAAAGATTCTCTATTGGGTTTAGGTCTGGAGACTGGCTAGGCCACGCCAGAACCTTGATATGCTTCTTACAGAGCCACTCCTTGGTTATCCTGGCTGTGTGCTTCGGGTCATTGTCATGTTGGAAGACCCAGCCTCGACCCATCTTCAATGCTCTAACTGAGGGAAGGAGGTTGTTCCCCAAAATCTCGCAATACACGGCCCCGGTCATCCTCTCCTTAATACAGTGCAGTCGCCCTGTCCCATGTGCAGAAAAACACCCCCAAAGCATGATGCTACCACCCCCATGCTTCACAGTAGGGATGGTGTTCTTGGGATGGTACTCATCATTCTTCTTCCTCCAAACACGGTTAGTGGAATTATGACCAAAAAGTTCTATTTTGGTCTCATCTGACCACATGACTTTCTCCCATGACTCCTCTGGATCATCCAAATGGTCATTGGCAAACTGAAGACGGGCCTTGACATGTGCTGGTTTAAGCAGGGGAACCTTCTGTGCCATGCATGATTTCAAACCATGACGTCTTAGTGTATTACCAACAGTAACCTTGGAAACGGTGGTCCCAGCTCTTTTCAGGTCATTGACCAGCTCCTCCCGTGTAGTTCTGGGCTGATTTCTCACCTTTCTTAGGATCATTGAGACCCCACGAGGTGAGATCTTGCATGGAGCCCCAGTCCGAGGGAGATTGACAGTCATGTTTAGCTTCTTCCATTTTCTAATGATTGCTCCAACAGTGGACCTTTTTTCACCAAGCTGCTTGGCAATTTCCCCGTAGCCCTTTCCAGCCTTGTGGAGGTGTACAATTTTGTCTCTAGTGTCTTTGGACAGCTCTTTGGTCTCGGCCATGTTAGTAGTTGGATTCTTACTGATTGTATGGGGTGGACAGGTGTCTTTATGCAGCTAACGACCTCAAACAGGTGCATCTAATTTAGGATAATAAATGGAGTGGAGGTGGACATTTTGAAGGCAGACTAACAGGTCTTTGAGAGTCAGAATTCTAGCTGATAGACAGGTGTTCAAATACTTATTTGCAGCTGTATCATACAAATAAATAGTTAAAAAATCATACATTGTGATTTCTGGATTTTTCTTTTTAGATTATGTCTCTCACAGTGGACATGCACCTACGATGACAATTTCAGACCCCTCCATGATTTCTAAGTGGGAGAACTTGCAAAATAGCAGGGTGTTCAAATACTTATTTTCCTCACTGTAAAACCTTGCATATACTGTGTGAGTCCAAAAGAAATGCCCACATCAGTGTCCGACAGGATACAGTCCACTTCTGTTGGTGGTTGTAAGCACATTATATTGAAGTGTAACATCGTTTACCAATCTTACGGCCATATGATTCCATCTTTTCATCAACCTTTTACCTGATTACCACAAATAATCAATCAGCATCAACAGTTGATTTCCCACCGACACTGAGGGTTTGTTTGGCTGTCCTGTTGAACGTTACAATTTTTCTTGGACTAATGATAAAATAATGTTAAATCCCTTCACAAATTTCTCAAATTTCTTAAGACATCCATCTTGCTGATATACAGTTAGGTTTCAATTCCATTTTAACTCTTCAGTGTGGTGTTACGTGTCCATCAGAATATTGTATGCTACCGTGGAGTGTGTGTTGATTTTCGGCAAGTTTTTTATTTGTGAGGTTTGTCTTTGCCTTGACAACATGATTGTTTGCTTTAAGTACTGGTCCTTTTGGATGCTGTACATTGACCACAAAGTACACATCGTCTCCTCTCTCTCTCTCTCTCTCTGCACACACAGTGTTTGGGTTCTTTTATTGTCTTACTCAGTGTACGGCCTTGTGATTAATGTAAATAATTCATGATGATTGTGTTTATTTCATGTAGCAGACAAGATAGAAAATATCTATAAAAATGTATTTTGGACTTGACCTGAATAAATTTGTGACGTGATGCAGCAAAAAAAAAAAAAGCCTCGAGTGCTCATTTTTCAAAACCATAGTGTCGTATAGTGGGTGTGCTTTTTCTTTTTATAAAAATAAATTGTATCTTATCTATTGATTAGAAATCCATGTATCATACGTATATGTATCAATAGTGCATCAATGGTCACACTTTCAGAGTTTTTCAGACAGCCCCCCCCTCTGTGGTCACAATGGTGGAACAGCCAAAAACAAGTGTATTATAATACAGTGCAATATAATTATTTAACCTCAAATACATTTTAGGCATTTTATCTCCAGCTTTTGATATTAACCCTGACGTTTCCTGTTGCAAAGATAAACTACCACCAACTGATACAGAGTAGTCTGCAGGAAATACTTTATTTTCTCTGCTTTATGTGTTTCAAAGCATTTTTCTATTTGCCTTGTTAATCAGTTTCCACTTGCATAAAAACAATTAAAATCCAGCAGAAACAATTGTCTGTTAATGCAGAGATGATTAGAACTATTTCCTTGGGTTTCAAAATACAAATTTTCCAGTCTTTCCCTTCACAATGAGCTATGTACACACACATAAATACACATTTGTGTGATTCAGCAGGTAGGAGGCATGGTGGGCAGAGAGAGAGAAGTGCATCATGGGGAATATGACCTGTAAGAATAGATGTACAAGGACATGTTACACTTCAGCAGTAATGCAAATACTGTAGGCATTACCTGTTACAAATATGACTACTAAGAATGATACAACTTCATCATCTGTTTTGATCTACATGGGGCTTGAAGGGCTTCAGGTTCACACTGGTTCTTTACCTCAGGGCAGGGCTAGGGCACAGAGCAGCATGAGTCAACCAGGTTAGCTTGTGAAGGCCTCGAAGTCTGAGTCTGAAACAGGAAGCAGGAAGCGTAAGACAAAATTCCAACTTAAATACCAATATTGTAGCACAATAATGTGTGTTTGTCATGTTAAAATTGTTTTATTTTATTGATGTCACAATGAGATCTAGTTACAACAAATAAGAGTTCATAACAAAATAATGACAGGCTTTAAAGGGTGGTACCAGCACGTCGTTATCCAATGAACAAAATAAAAATTTAAGCTGAAGATATCAACAGCAAAATAGATATTCAATAGCAAACTGTGAGATAAAATAATATTCTGTGGCTATTTATTGATAATAGGTTCAGGATAGCTCTTTACTAAGCAGCCTGCATGAACAGGTTTTTCTGGCAAATTTTCTGGAAAACCAGCAATAAGAATTTGAGTTATTAACAATGTATTATTTTGTTATCAATATAATGGTCTTAAAATCTTAAAACAACAAAATCGGTGAAACGGTCTTGTGATGATCTCACACACACTCATACACACACACACAAACACATCAGAGAACATTGTACTGTTTGCAGAACCGAGGACACAAGACGAAAGGGGTGAAGATGCAGAGATGAGCAAAGAGAGATGAGATTAACACACAGCTTTTGCGGGAGTGTAAAAATGTTTAGGCATACTGAGTTCTGTTAGTCCTTTTTATTATATTAAAATTTAATTATATTACCTCATCTCGTTCTTTTTTAAATTATCTACATTTATTTTGTTTTAGACAGCCAGAGCCCAGGAAAAAGCATTCATGAAAGCCTTCCTTGAATGAAAGAGCAAGCACCACTGCAGTTCATTAAATCCTGCAATTCCTAAGCTTCCCTGAAGGCATCGTTGCTGTAGCAGTTGGGACGTTTCCAACTGTGAGCACAAGAGTATATTCACTGACATTAGTAATGTATCATGTATCATTATTAGTTGTAGTAGTAATGGTAATAATACTGACTAGTATCGCATGAAATCAGTGACAATTAGCTGGAAAATGCAAACTATTACGGCCATATTCAGAAAAAAATCCAAAATCCCAGCTCTTCTTCGACTCAGTCTTTATTTGTTATTTCCCTTTTAACAATCTGAAAATAAAAATAAAAAAAACACACGGCAGCACAAAGTAGCACAAACATTACAGGTAGACATACTGTGTATTTATAAGAGAAGCCACCTGCCTCTTACTCTCTCAATCCAGCTCTACACGCAGTGACAGTTTGGAGTCAAAATTATTTTAAAAATTTGCTGTGACTGATGACATATTCTCACTGCTGTTCTTTATCTTTTCCAGTGATGAGTTATCCTTTAGAGTGAAAGAATCATACAATAAATGAAATCATGAAAAATATATAACCAAATAACAAACCTATTGTTCTCTCATTTTTTACCATATTACTGGTACTAGTAATTATTTATCTATGAAGATACTGTGTGTGTGTGTGTGTGTGTGTGTGTGTGTATATTTCGTATTGTAGTTCACAGGTTGGGTTGGCCTGATTGCATTTCATTAGAGCCTTGGAATCAGGCAACTTTGGGCTTCATTCAGCAGCAACATGGAAATAACTCAATAATCTTTTTTCTCTCTCTCTGTCCACATGACACACCCACAGCAGCAGTCACAGTCTGTGGATTGTTTTTCACTTTCCAAGACTGTGCACATACATCTACCAACTACATTGTTATTTGGATGTCTATTGAAAGTATGTCTTGCTCTGATGCAAAGGTGGGAATGTGTATCCCAACAAACACGTATATTGTTGTGGTTTAAATAAGACATTGCGGAAATTGATAAATTAATAACTGTAAACTGCATGTATGTATCACAATTTTAAACCAAAACACAGACTATTATTATTTATTCTCAACTCAAGATGTGTTCTTCATTTTTGCAGGGTTTTTAGATTTATTTGAACTATTAAGGCAATCTTGGGGCTGAAGAAAATCACTGCGGGTGGAGGGAGGTTATAGATTACTGTCTGTGCCATTTTGGGCAAGCAGGGGAACTTAATTAAAAGATGTTTCCAAAATGAGAATGCAGCTATAGTCCAACAGTATCTCCAACAGTTCAAACCAGTCCAAGGGAAATCAAACCTAGCACTGATTTAGTGATGAAGCTCTATATTTTTAAACATTCGCACAACCATCACAATGCAGTTAAATTGTGGCAAGCTGAAAAGAAAAAAAAAAGATCATCTAAAACCAGCAAAACCCCATTCAAAGATAAAATACATTTGCTCTGCTTGAAATACATTTGTTTTTTTCTGACTTTGAACATTTTCAGTGGTAATGTAACACATCATAAAGTAGTTAAAGCATGCAAAGGCACCAAAAGGATCAGAATAAAATATTATTCTAAAAGTTGTAACTGTGGTTTACAGTCAGTCATAAAGCTGTACACACTCTAGACTGTGCTTTGCCTTCCAACTTCTGTACGGCCCCCCAAACCACCCCCATCAACAATCTGACCAAATATGGTTATGATATTTAGTAAGTCAACAAGGCCAAGACTGAGAGATTTAATGATACATGAGCTCATCACTATTGTAACTGCAACAGTGTAAAAGCTGCAAGCTGTATATACAATTCTGACTGGGAAGCCTGTGAGTAGTTGCAAAGTATTTGTTTTAGCAAAGTGCGTGAGTGTATGCTTCAACTGCGTTTCTCCACCTATTCTAGAAATTAGTATCAGCTGACCAGTAAACAGAGGTCTTTTTTAATCAAACTAGTGTTTATGTCATGCTGAGAAAGTTCTGTGCCCTTCTTTAGATCCTGACCTATTGTTTCAGACGGCGCTGAGTGGGACACAGTTCTCACACATTCCCTTTGCCAGAGAGTCAGGATGAGAAAATTCTATGGCAGGGTTTCAAATGACCCAAACACACAGAAAAACATGCACACACAACACACAAACCTTTACTAGGATTTAAAGAACTACCAACCTTACCACATCTAAATCCCTTTTACTTCCACTCTTTTCAGTCTATGTAAATATTTGGCAAATTCACATATATTCAGAAACAATCCTCCGTATTGCTTCACATACCTAAAAAACTGAACAATTTGAACTTTTAGCCCTATAGGTTAACTGTATGGAAATGTCTGGGATGGCATTCAACAAAGAAAACCAGCAAGACAACACAAACCCTGTCAAAGTTGCCTCATTGTCTCTTTTAGAGGTGTTGAAGCTACATAAAAGCCTTGTGATCAGTTGAGGCACTACCTCAAATTAAGGCCCCATCCACACTACACTTTTTAAGTTTAAAAATGGAGAATTAAAACAAATACAATCTCTGCATTTTAGTGCTGATCTCCGCCTACATTAAAACGACTGAAAACGCACATCTAGTGGCCGTTCACATACACTTGGCATGCGCATGCCGGGTGTAAACATGAAGCAGATGGTCTATTCTGTAGTTACAGAAGATTTGGCGAAATAATAAAGTAATGCAGGTGAAGAACCAGACCAGATTTTTTTTTTGCATGGACCAATAAGAGCTGGGACTGTTACTGAATGTAACATGGGAGCGTGGTGGCGGAAAACAGCCTGGGAGTCATCGCAAAGTAAACAGCGATATGCACAGAACAAGTGTAAGGAGGTAAGTGTTATTTGTACGGTTCAGAAGATTTTAATAAAAATACCAAGTCAAAAACTCTGTCAGTAGCACTGTGTATCTGCTTTGCATGACTTGGATGACCCAATCAGAAAACCAAGCGTGAGCGTCTGCATCATTGTTTCTAAAGTCCTCCGTTTTTGCCTGTCTTCACTGAAACATCCTCTGGATTTTCACAACGAAAAACGGGGTCAGCAGGGTTTTCAAACTTCTCCGTTTTGGGTCTTTGTTTTCTCCTTTTTAGTCTGGACAGGGGGTGCAAATGTAGCTAAAATGTAGTAGTGTGGATGGGGCCTAAGAGTCTGGCAATCACGTTACATGAGAGTCTGGCTGTAGGCTCAACACTTAGGTAAGTGTAAAGAATAAGGCATCCCAAATACAACGCACACACACACACTTTATTAGCACACAATACACCTGCACTTCTTTTTCTTTTTCACACTGCTATCACTTTTTTTTATGGCAGGTTCAAACTCTTCTTCACTGCATTGGCTTAGTGGCATAGTGTTGGCAGTTGTGGATGACTCAGGAGAGAAGCCTGGTTCCCTGCTTCCCTTTCCCTCATTTTCCCACCCACCTCCAGGCCCTGAGCCAATTTTAAACTCCCCCTCTTCATCTTCCTCCACTGCAAGAATCTTTTCACTACCAGCCTCATGTAAATGTACAGTCTTAACAACTCTACCTCCTTTAAGGCCACCAGTTTTTGTTCTGCCCCCACCCCCAGCACCTGATATGAAGTCTGTAGCAGCTGCTCTCTGCTGGGCTTCCATTTCTGACAGGCTGCATGCCAAAGCCATCTGCATGTCTTCATCATCTTCGTCCTCCTCGCTGCCTCCCGCAACACCGTAATGGTAGAAAGGGGCGGAGCTAAAGGACCGATGTGTGGCAGCAGAGTAAGGACCGGGGCGGGGTCTGTCTGGCTCCACAGGTGATCTGTTTTGGATTTGTGGCTTCTGAGGCGAGTGGCGGGGCTGTCCATCTCGCCGGCTCAGCTCCAGCGCGAGGGCCATTTCATCCTCCACGCCTGGAAACAACACACACAGCAACACAGATGTGTATGTGCACAAGCAGCACAACGTAACATATGCACGCACGTGCAGAAATGCATAAGAGCAGCAACAAGATCTACATTCTGTAGGAGTGTCACCATGCCACATCTTCGATAGCAATATCTCTGCAATAACTTCTGGTAATACAATAGTTAATTACCCTCACTTGATTTGAATGGTTTTTGATAAGAAAATGTAGTTCCTGTCATGTGCTACCAGTTTAGATAAATTTGTTGAATTCACCTCAAAATGTTGCTTGCTGTTTTACTTTTAGTGCTTCTTTTGTTGAAGCACTAAAATTCACCATTGAACTTGGTACGCTGACAAAAATGGTTTGAAGAAAGTGAAGGGAAAGCAAATGGATTTAAGTTCATTTGTCGGCACACTTTTCAATCCAACCATTCGGCGTGTTTGTTCTTACCATTAATTAGGACACTCTTTAAAACCCCATCCTCCTCAATCTCGGTTCTTTCCTGCCCGTTCTCCTTTATCCTGTAAGCAAATATGAAGGTAGACTTAATCTTGCACAAGTCACGCTGTACATTTTAAGAGCTTAAAAGTCATTACATTTTCATGTGACCTTTGATTATGGTAATATAAGCTCCACCGGGGTAGGTTTACAGACCTAACTTATGAGAGCCACATTGATAACTCTAAAGCCATAATTTGTAGCTATTTTAAAAAAAAAAGAGTAAAATAAAAATTTGCCAGACTGCTTAACTTGTTTTGCATCTTCAGGTTGGCAGTTATATAACATTTGCATGCAAAATGCCATGTGTAGGCAGGATAAAAAACTAGAAATGTAAGAACACTGTCCAAATCAGAAACTACAGTACCATGCTGAGCGGCAAACCAGTGTTTATGTTAGTATAAACCTTCACCTTTCAGTGAGGTTTGTTTAAAGGCACTGGAAAATAAAACTGTACATTAATGACAAATAATTTTTTCCCAGGTTGGCTAACTTTTCTATGGATGGCATTACATACTTCTTGGTAGTGGTGCGTTTGCCATTTATAATGCGAGTAGAGGTAGAAACTGATTTGAAGCTGCCCATCCCTCCGCCCATGCTGTCCATCCCATCCAGACCACCCAAGGTAGAGGAGAAGGAGGTGAATTCAACTGAAGGAGGACAGACGATCAGGAAAAAAAGCAAAAGAGAAGAGACTGATTAATTTCAATGTATCATTACGTAACCTTAGCAAATATAATACCACTCCCATGTTGTTGCCACACAGAGTGTGAATTTAAGTGGGTAAACATGCACAGCAAGGCGCCCAAATACGAGAATGTAAAGAGAAAATAATTAGTTTTTTATACACAAATCCATAAACTAGGGTTAGGTAAGTATCACCAGTGAGTTACCCCATTGTGCAGTTTGGTGAAAAAGTATCGATGCTATGACTACATGGAGTATAATATACTTTTATGCTGATGTTAAACTTTTAACTGAAACTATGTTTGAGGTGTCACTTTAACAACAGTGAATGATAAAGTCTGGTAGCCTTCTATTTCTTGAACAAAAAGATGGTTTAGTTCCCCCATATTTCAGTGAACTACTCTTCACCAGCTTTTAGCTAGCCTCGCTGCTGTGTTATGTTGTGAAAATTGCCAAACACCAAAACCGGATCACATTAAAATTAGGGCTGGGCACGTTAATGCGTTAACAAATTGATTAATTAACGCCGAACACTTATTTTATTGCATGTTAATAAAGTTTTACTATTAGGCTATTATTTTGAAAGTCCGCTGCTCACTGGCTCTGAATAAACATACAGTCACACCATGGGTCCCAGGAGGGGTGGGATGTTGATCAGCCTGCAAATCACCCACCCAAACAAGCAGTAGAGGGAGGCTTCGGCAGACTATGCTGGATGCAGTGTGTGGGAGAAGTAGATAAACAAAAGCAAGACAAGCGAAGAATTAAATGCCATAGCGAAGTGGATAGCTACACAGTACATGCTGATTAGTATTGGGGAAGATGTCGTTAGGAGTCGTAGGAACGTTCTTAAAATCGCAACATAGTCGCTTGATGAATGAAAATGTTTCTTCTCATACCTGCTCAGCAAAAAAACAACAAGAAAACAGATTTATATATGTTAACATATTGCTCAGAAGGTGTCTATGATGTTATGATCGTGGCTCTGGACTCTAACTTGTTTAAACAAGCTAGATAAAAGGTAATGCCCTGGCAGTGGCAAATAGCTTTGGTTTTATATTTGATTTGATTACATTAATGATTAAGTTGAGAAATACAAGAAATATTTTATTGCTACTGTGTAAAGGGAATACTGCTGGTAAAAAGCACCTCATTTGTTTAAAGTGTTTAATTTGTTCAAACCACATGTTATTGCACTTTTGTGTACATAGTAGTACATTTAAATTAAAAGTGTGCAATACACTACTTTAGAATTCATTATTCAATTTTGTGCATAACTATCCGATTAATCACGAGTAATCACAGAAAATCATGTGATTAATCACGATTAATCACAGAAAATCATGTGATTAGTTGCGATTAAAAATTTTGATCATTGCCCAGCACTACTTAAATATGACAGTATGCTACAATGTCTAGTTAGGCTGTTTACCTCCGGTTGAAGGGATAGAAAAGAACCGGCTGGGGCCAAGGCGAGAGGCTGAGCCTCCAAAGGATGAGAAGTCATCTGGATAAGAGAAAGAGAGACACAAGTTAGAGTTTAGTCAGCAGTGGGATCTTCTGCTTTGAGGGCTTATGTTGTATTATAAATTTTCCCACATACTAACTAATATTAGAAAATTTTATTCTTAACTAAATCACACTGTAAACATCAAATGATGGAGAAATTCATAAAAATGCTTTTATAACCCAATGTATATATTGTGTATGACTTACCAAAGAAGCTAGCGAAGGGATCCTGCCCACTAAAAAACTCTCTGAACACTTCATCTGGGCTGCGGAATGTGAAGGTGAACCCTGGGAAATCTGAGGAAAAGTCTGAGCTGGAGGAGCCTGGAAAATGAAACCGCCAGGGTCAGGTGGGTGAAGAACAACCAAAGAAGAGAAAGAGTAGATGGAGAAAAACAAATTAGGGGCAAGAACGGGAGAAAGTGAGTGAAATGGCAGGTGCAGGGAAGTGGGAGAGAGGAGAAACATAAGGAAGGGCATGAGGAGAAGGCAAAAGCAAAGAGAGTGAGGAGGGAGGAATGAAAGGAGGAATGAGGATAAATGAAAAGGGGGAAAGTGAGAAAGACAGAAAATGATGGCCAAAGAAAAAAAGGAAAGGGAGAAAAAACAGGAAAAAGGGGAAACAAAATGAGAAACAAAAATCCTAACACACGATCAATCTTAAAATGTAGCCGTTCATGTGTACCTAAGCATGGGATTTTCCAAACTACTACTATGATGGATGCAACAACAGCTACATATCTCACTATTGTAGGTTATTTACCTCGGTGTGGCACTCTGTCATTTCCATATCTGTCATATGCGTCACGTTTGCTCTCTGCAGCAGAGGAACAGAGTACAATTTAATGATGGCATAAAAACCCAATAAAATTCAATTTCAAATTTTTTCTCATACAAACACCCAACACACATCCATTGCATGAAATTAAAAATATAGCTACTGTTTTAAAAAAAACTGATTAAAGGGTTCTATGAAGGAGGTTCCTGTATGAAGAGCCTGACGTCATCACACAGAGATACAGATTTATGACTCGATACAGCATCAATACACATGAACTCCCAACAGCCACTTGACAATCACCTGTCATCTCACAAACACACACACATATATATATACGTGTGTGTCTGTGTGTGTGTGTGTATGTATATTTAAAGATATACACTGACTTACGGTCAGATAGGACTTCATAGGCCTCAGCTAGTTCTTTGAACTTTCTCTCTGCTTCCTCCTTGTTGTCTGGATTTTTGTCTGGATGCCATTTCAGTGCCAGTTTCCTGTACCTGAACACACAACACAAACACTGACTCATGCATGCAAATAAACTATATAGATGTAGACATGCACCATTACTATGGTCTCTTATACTATGAAATAGTGAAATATTGCTTTACTGCTTATGAATTAGTGTAAAGAGTTCTAACACTTGAGAGAGACTACCAGGACACTCACGCCTTCTTGATGTCGTCCTGAGACGCTGTTTTGGACACTCCCAGGATGTTGTAGTAATCCACCATTTTGCCTCCTGTCACTCCTCACCACACCGCCCTCGAGAGGAAAATACAAGTATGTTTTCTTTTGAGTACAGAATATGCTCAGCTCTGACTGGACACCCTCACCTGCATTTATCAAATTGATGTCTCTAGTAACAAAAACTTTGGAAAACCTTGGCATCTGTGGTACTTCCTACAATCCGAAAAAGGAAATGAAAAAGCTCATTATTTATTTAATTTACATATAAGTGGTCATATACAGTATGGGCACTGCCTAAAGAAGGCAGTGTGGAATGCAAACATAGCTATTTACCATTCTGAACACTAAAGTGTGAACAGATTGATATGAAAATGTTTCTTTTTTGGAATTTAAAGATCTATAAATCCTAATGGATTACCAACACAAGCATTTTTAGACCTGTTCTCAGGACTGTGTGGGTGTATACCACTGACTGTATAAAAGAATAATATACAGACAAAATTTGATTGACACCTCCCTCACTGTCCGGTTAAGATTTCCTACATCATTAATGACATCATCAAACTCCCAGCATGCTCTGCAGAGAGCTAATCCGCCAGTAATTTAAAACACCTGCGTGGTGGGTGTTAATTAGTGTTTATGTTACAATAATATCTATATCTATATATGTATCCTTTTCTTTTTACAGTAAATGAAATTCACCTTTCTTGTTGAAAGGCTCAGATGAAATACATTTAGCCAAAATGTCTACATGCATGAAAGTCTAAAAGTATACATGCACGATGACATATAACAAGACTCCATTGGGTAATTAAATTCAAACTAGAAGAAGAAAATGGTTTGTGAGGTGTTTTATCCCAGATACGATGCATACTGTGAACTACACTGAGATAACATTGTTTCTTAAAAAAAATTTGTTGAGTTTGTGATTACATTTTATCAAATGTTTTTGATAACTAGGCGTTTCCAGTTAATTTGACAAATTTATCTATATGTAGTTAATTTCACTGAATCACTAATGAAAACATATTTTTAAACGTTACACATCAGAAATTAAAGGATTAGAGGGCTTTTTTTTATCCTGTCATGTCAAATTAGCTGTAAACAGATGCATATACTTTATAATATATAGGCCTATGTCTTTATTAAGGTTCAAATGTTACCTTAAAGTGTTTTTCTTTTAACTTTTTTAAATTAAAATGTGTCTGCTTTTAGCATTTACTTGAAATTGGACCCCTTAAATTCCAAGAATACAGTCTTACTTTCTATTATGGCCACAGTCAGTATGCTAGCCACCATGTCAATCTCATTAGTGGACTACAACAGCTTCAGGGCTGAAGGGGACTTCCAAACTGAGGGAAAATAACTAAATTTAACTTTCTTTTCACCCTGGGGAACAGCGATGCGCTCACACAAGTATTATTACTATGTTATTTCTAGCATGGCATCTGACAACTGCTGCTGACGTGACATCGGGCCTACACAAACTTACATACACGGGCAGATGCGCTTGCTTGCAGGCACAGCGCTGTCTATTCAAGTAACGTCACGTACCATTCACATTAACAGTAATTGCGGTTATTTGGTATTTTGCTTGAGACAATATTTCCTATTATGGTAAAGTTAGTCATCTAGCTTATCTTCAGTAACATCGCAGTCTATTGGCTGTGGGTTGCCACAACTTGTCACGACTAACCAAAGCCACAGACCTACCGCGTCAGTTCTGCCTAATGACTGGCAGCTCAGCCGTCTGTCCCCCGGTTTCGCGCGACAGTGAATTATTTGTTATAGCGGTGCCTCCGGAACGCGCTCCCCCTCTCTTCTTCGTGACAGCCACACAGACAGCCTTCTCTCCTTCCTCTCCACCGCCCCGACACAATTACTCTCTAACAACACAATATGTCTGCAGTGTACCGTTGTGCCTCAGCGGTCCACTCCACAGGACAAGCAGACAGTCAGTCCTGTTTGCCTCGTGTGCTGGTCTAATCCGCACGCGCGACGTCACCATCAGCTGAGAGAAGAGCGTCTCTAGAACTTGCTAGTGTTTGGAAACCTCATCAGACCCGCCCTGCCCCGACGTCTGCCTGTTGCTCTGTGATTACGTCGCATAAACTATTAAACTTCTGACTGTGGTCACGAACAACCATTCAGGTTAGACATACAACCCAAACTGTCGCATCTGTTCACATGTATTTCTATATAATTTCATTTTATAAAAAAAACTCTATCCCATACCAATTGTTTACCAAAAGGCTTTGTAGGTACACTACATGTATCTGACAGCTAGTAACGTTACGCAAGAAAATAATTGTTATCCAGTGAAGTACAAGGATATAAGTAGCTAGAATTAGGTCAACTAAAACCATAAAATGTTTCTAACGCATGTTATAAGTAATAATAATCCAATACAGGGATATAACTCTGACAGGGCGACTCTGCTGCATAATACGTTTGCTTTTGATACTTTAAGCACATTTTACTGATAATAGTTTAAGACTTTACTTGTAATGGAGTATTTTTACACTGTGGTAGGCCTACTAATAATTTTACTTAACGGTGGTAATACCACTGCTCACTATAATTGAGCCATATAGAATATTCTCAGAGCTATAGAAAATAAATGACAATTTATAAACTCATTGTTGAGTGAGAGACGTTACATTTAGTTACCAGAAGTATATTATTATTATAAGTAGTTCACTGTGTGAGTCATCATATGTCATAGTAACATCGACTGGCCAGTGACGCTGAATTGATTTTTTGCCTCTTCATATACAGCCTTAGGAATAAACCAGCTCACACAACTTTACCAGCTGGTCACAGTGCTACCATCTTGTGGCTAAGGGAAGCAACTGCAGGTACAAGGCCACGCCAGCCCATTGTATACTTTGTAGCCAATCATCAACATGGCACAAAGGCAGGACATTGGCAAAGGCAGAGAAACTAGAATTTCCTTTATAAACACTAAACTATTTTATTTTGTCTACATACCTTATGTAGACAGTAATCCTAATAATTCTCACCACAGTGCTAATGATGTGTTACCAGTTTGTCTCTCTAAAAGCCAGATATTATCACTATATTATTGTCAGTTATAAAAGTTAAATTCAAAGTTAAATAAATTCAATATAAAAGGCTTGTTAATCATTCATGATAGCAAGGCGTTTGACTATTGTTGTTGTAGTAATTTACTCTACACAAAAAAAAATATGTGCTTAATGGGTGGCCAAACTTCTGAAGGAATTCAAGAATGATCACAAGTTCATTTGAAGGGGTTCATGACAACTTTTTATTGATAACAATATGACCACCACAGGTTATCGTGGTTAATGTTGTACGTTCATGATAACTTTTGGAATGTGTGATGGTAAAGCCCGGATGATTTTTGGCCCTTCAGTACTCCTCTCCCTCTTCATCCTCCTCTCCCATGCTGTCAGTGCCAACCTCTTCATAATCCTTCTCCAGGGCAGCCATGTCCTCTCTGGCCTCTGAGAACTCTCCCTCCTCCATTCCCTCCCCAACATACCAGTGGACAAAGGCTCTCTTGGCATACATGAGGTCAAACTTGTGGTCGAGACGGGCCCAGGCCTCAGCGATGGCTGTGGTGTTGCTCAGCATGCACACGGCCCTCTGCACCTTGGCCAGGTCTCCACCAGGAACCACTGTTGGTGGCTGATAGTTGATGCCCACCTTGAAGCCTGTGGGGCACCAGTCCACAAACTGGATGGTGCGTTTGGTCTTGATGGCTGCGATGGCAGAGTTGACATCTTTGGGCACCACATCACCACGGTACAGCAGACAACAGGCCATGTATTTACCATGACGAGGATCGCACTTCACCATCTGATTGGCTGGCTCAAAGCAAGCATTGGTAATGTCAGCAACAGACAGCTGCTCATGATAGGCTTTCTCAGCAGAGATGACTGGAGCATAAGTGGCCAGAGGGAAGTGGATACGGGGGTAGGGCACCAAGTTGGTCTGGAACTCTGTCAGGTCAACATTCAGGGCTCCATCAAAGCGAAGGGACGCTGTGATGGAAGACACAATCTGGCCAATGAGCCTGTTCAGATTGGTGTAAGTCGGTCTCTCGATATCGAGGTTCCTGCGGCAGATGTCGTAGATGGCCTCATTGTCCACCATGAAGGCACAGTCTGAGTGCTCAAGGGTGGTGTGGGTGGTCAGGATGGAGTTGTAAGGCTCCACTACAGCTGTGGAAACCTGGGGGGCTGGGTAGACAGCAAATTCAAGTTTTGATTTCTTTCCGTAATCAACAGAGAGTCTCTCCATCAGCAAGGAGGTGAAACCAGAGCCAGTGCCTCCACCAAAGCTGTGGAAAATGAGGAATCCCTGCAGGCCAGTACACTGGTCAGCCTGAAAGGAAAATTTGCCATGATTATTTTCAATCACATTCCAGCTGCACAATCTCAAAAGGTGTGAAATCACATGAAAAGTCACCATTTTGCCCATTTCTTTAAAAACTGACTTCCCCTTTCTTTCCTTTATTTAAATCTTGAAAACATCAGGCAAATAAGCTTTTTTGAGCTCTAAATGTTGTTAAGTCAAAAGACAAACCTCCCAAGTTGCTAAACCTGTCCAGAAAACTGATTAAACTCTCACCAGTTTGCGAGTCCTGTCCAGAACAAGATCAATGATCTCCTTGCCGATGGTGTAGTGTCCACGGGCGTAGTTGTTGGCAGCATCCTCCTTTCCTGTAATCAGCTGCTCAGGGTGGAACAGCTGCCGGTAAGTTCCTGTACGCACCTCATCTATGAAAGAAACAATTGAAAACAAGAGTAAGCACTACTGTCCATGAGGACAACATTGTGGCAAACTCACAAACTGTCATTAAATATTAAAAAGCATTCATACTAAAATACTTTCCACCAAGTTGAAGTATACATTAGTGTACATACAGTATACCTTATGTTTTACAACTTAGGAGCTTGGTTCATGGTTCATGGGTTTGAAGTTTGAGAGTTTTTCTCATTTGTATTTGTAAAATCAAACAAATGTTAAGGAAATAACAAATGAAAGTAATGTGCAAGGAGATGAAAATGGTGGAAAAGCAGCTTATCCATTAGCTCTATGAAAGACATATACTGTAAAGTTCAGCATTATTTACAAATTACTCACCAATAACAGTGGGTTCCAGGTCAACAAAGATGGCTCTGGGAACATGCTTTCCTGCCCCAGTTTCGCTGAAGAAGGTGTTGAAAGAGTCATCTCCTCCTCCAATAGTCTTGTCACTGGGCATCTGTCCGTCTGGCTGGATCCCATGTTCCAGACAGTACAGCTCCCAGCAAGCATTGCCCATCTGGGCTCCGGCTTGGCCGACGTGCATAGAAATACACTCACGCTGAATAAAAGAGGGGAGAGGCTGGTTAACGGAGGCTGCCAACTCATATGTTAGCAGACATACATTTACTATTAAAATCCAAGGATAGCTTTAACCATTACCTGACCTAACACTAACTGCTTGTAACTAACTCCCATCAGCATGTATAATGCATGCAGATCGTGCACAAGCAATAAAACAGAATGGCCAATAAAAACTAGATAATAAATCATGGGGCGTTGGGGCAGAGGTTCAGAGTTTGCTGTGCGCTGGAGTGTTTAAAATATCCTTTATCCGCACTGTCATTGTGCAGCAGCTAAGCAGGAACATGGAATTACTGAGCTGAGTCAGCATATGGCACTCTATGTTTAGTATTAATTTTTAACTGCCAATGGTCGACTCTATAAATCAACTTTTAACTCCTACTTCTGTTAGTACACAGCATTTTACTGTTTGAAATGTTACCACATATATTGTGTTGTCTTTTTATGTGCACTTGGACGCTCTTTTATGTACTGTATTGTGTCTCTATGTGTGCCATGCACCAGTGAAAGGCACATTTCCATTATTGCCTGCAGAAAACAACAGAAAATGACAAAAAAATGTCCCTAGTAAGGCATAAGGGTTAATGGATAATACGGTTTTGAGAATCTTTAATGGTATAGGGACTTTTACAGCATGCGTCATTGTATGTCAGGTCAGCTCACAAAGATGGTCGGTTGAGTGGTTTCATGTTACTTGTTATAAAAAAGCAAAGAAAGATAAAACTTCTGTTGTATTCAGTTATTGCTCTATAGCGCTCACGTTCTTTCTTTGAACTTAATGTCTAATGACAATCTTTGGTCTGATGTCCGCACTTAGTTCAGAAAGGAAACAGCTTAGTTGGCAAAGAAATGTTGGCTGCTGAATACCGTGTGCCAGGGCAGGTTGATGAAACTTTCAGCTGTTCAAAGTGCATACAAGCAAGCCATCATTTAATGAAAGCAGCTATTAGATAGTCCAGAAAATGCACTTCAGTTTGTTACAATAGAATCCAGTAAAATTTGGACAGGAAATGTATCTACAGATGAAATACAGTTTTGAAAGCCCGCCTTGTGCCTATAAAACAATTTTATTACATTTCCAAAAAACAGAGAAACATACAAACTGCACTATGTGGCAGATGGGAAGGCCATGCCTCAAGAAAATGAGAAAAACCTTCCCCCCTTTTCTCCATCCTGTATCCCCTCCCTTCCCTCATCCCCTCCCTTTTTGTGTCTCTCTCCTCCCCCATCCTGTCCAGCTGCATAGTGCCGCGTAACAGTCAGGCACGTCTCCCTCCCTCTCTCTCTCTCTCTCAAACCAAAACTCCTAACAGCTGCAAAATGGCTGCCAGCTATACTGCCGGGGCCAGACCACTCCTCTTTTCTTTTCTCCGTTCTTTCTCTCCATCTCCCCACTGCCACGATTACCCCGATCACTCCTTTATAGTCAAGATTGCTGTAATTACAACAAACATTAAGACTCTAGTAATTTTTGTCTCTTAGTTTCATATGTTTCCTGCTTTATGATAGCTATATGTAACAGGTATGAGAATGACAAAGCAGTCCAACTCACAAAGTGTCTGTCATCTGACCTAGATTGTCCAAGAGTAGAGAAATGAGTCATGGAGTCTTGTAGTCATAGATAACTATCCCAGTGAATTCCTCTTCCTGAATTCT